CCCAAGACGGCGCAAGAGGCATCAAGACGGCCAGGAGGACCCGAGAAAGGCAAACTCATTGATTTTGCTGTGGGGCTGCAATGATATCATCGTTCCCGCGTGTTCGGGCTTCCGACAGCCGAAGGCTGCCCAAAAAAGCTCCAACGCGACCCGAGAAACCCCAAAGAGAGCCCCAGCACGGGCCAGGAGGCCCCCGGGACGGCCCCAAGACTGCCCAAGGCGGCACAAGAGACCTCCGCTGCGGCCATACACACAGCGCCCCGGTACGGCGCAGAGACGGCTCAGAGAGGCCCCGAAGACGACGACCTCCAAAAGCGTCGAACTGGCCAAGAAAGCCATCCTCAGGCAGCCCAAGATGCCCACGAGAAGCCCTTCTGGGGCACCGAGAAGGCCCCTGGGAGGCCCCCAAGAGACCCCAGGAAACCCCCTGATTCCCCACCAGGGCCCAGAGAGGCCTCCTCCTCCTCCTCCTCCTCCTCCTCCTCCTCCTCCTCCTCCTCCTCCTCCTCCTACTCCCTCTTCCTCCTCCTCCTCCGCCTCGTCCCCCTCCACCTTCTCATCCCTCTCCTCGTCATCTCTCTCTCTCTCTCTCTCTCTTTCTTTCTATCTCTCTCTCTCTCTCTCTCTCTCTTTCTTTGTCTCTCTCTCTCTCTCTGTCTCTCTTTCCCCAAGCGTTTCCCCACGAGATGTCCCCACGGCTGGGGGAAACATGCATGGGGCGACACGGATGTCAGGACAAGACTGGCTCAGGACCGGACACGCTCCAGGATGTCGATCATAATCTAGCGGCGCAGCAAGTGCGGAACACGAGGAAACATGGGAAACACCTGGAATCCTTGGAACTATACACCAGGAAAACACACATATATATACATATATATAAGACATATAGTATATAAAAATTACAAACATACCTACATAAACACATACATACAGACATGCATATATACCTACATACATACGTACGTACGTATGTACATACATATATACACACACATACATACGCACATACATACACACATACATGCATACGTACGTACGTACGTACATACATACATACATACATACATGCATGCATGCATGCATGCATGCATGCATGCATACATACATACATACGTACAGAGACACACTCCGACTAATGTTGCACGCGCCTTCAGGGAGGGCGGCGGTGTATAAACTCGCTGGCTCTCGATGGCGACTTATACACCGCCACCCTTCCCAGAGCCCCAAGAGAAAACCACTGGAGGATGCCGGTGTACATAGCTGTGGCGGAAAAAACCTGGAACGTACTATTATCATGACCGCTTGCTCCTCTGAACCTAGCCCGCTGTACAACCATGAATATAATCAAGAACAAAATGAGTTAATGAATATGGAAAAAGGCTGGGCTAATTTATGCTGTTGGCGCTGCAAGGGCGAACGTGCTCAAGAAACTGGGCCAACTTTCCGTCAAACTGGTTACGAAACGCTGACCCAGCTCTTCGGGAGGAGGTTTATTAATCAGATGCTAGCCTGTATTTGCCATACCCTGGGCCCACGTTTGATCTGGAAAATCTGGCCCCTCGCAAATCTCACGGAAAATATCCTGCGACATCTCCCAAGGACTCGTGCCCCTTGGAAATCTCCGTTTCAATCTCCAGGCAAATCTTGCCCCTCAGAAAGATCCCATAAAATCTGCCGGGAAATCTCCCGGAAAAGGTTTCAAAAGAGATCTCCTCTGAGGTGTCCTACATCCCAAGATATCCAAATCAATCCTAACGCATTCCGGAAACCCCTGAAATTTCGCCCCTCAGAAACCTCCCGGAAAATCTTACCCCTCGAAGTCTCCAGGAAAATCTCCCGAGAAATTTCCCCGAAAAGATTTTCAAACATATTTCCATTGAGATGTCTGTCCTACATCCAAATATTTTCCAATGAATTCTCACACATTCTGGAATCCCAGCAGCTTTCGCCGGAGATTCTCGCTCGGGCGGAATGGCCCCGAGACTTTGCCAGAGATTTCCCAAAGAAGATGTCCCAGAGATTTCAATGGAGATTTGGCTTTGAGATCGCCAGGGGGATCTGCTTTGGAGATCTGAGGGGAAGATTTGCACAAAATTGTTGGCCAGAATCGTTTCGGACATGTTATGGAGACTCCCCCGATCTAACGTCAGAGACTCCATCACGGAAGCAGTTCTAGGAATGCATGGGGCCGTGGTGATTTGCCAGAGGCCTCTTCGATGCACGTCGCCGCCCCTCCCGCTCCCCACCATCCCAGGGGCAGGCGTGCGACCTTCGGGCGCTCCAGCATGTCGTGCTCCACCTTCGCGTCCGCCTCCGACTTGCACGCGTCGGGGCCCGGCATGCCAGAAGCAGCGATTGGTGAGAGAGCTCGATGTTCGACCCCCGCACAAGAGAACGTTTGATGTTCGACCCTCGAGGATCGATGTTCGATGTTCGATCCTCGAGGATCGATGTTCGATCCTCGATTGTTGAGCCGCTTCGCGACGGCGGCTGCCGCCAGCCCCCGGCCGCCCCGCCCGCCAGGCAACGCCACGATCTCCGTGCGGACCTCCAGGCTGCCTGCGGCTCTTCTCCGGAGCCCAAGACACTCCCAGACGGGCCCCGCGCGACACGTGGCAGCTCCCGGCCCCTCGCCGCCCTTTCCCCCCCCCCCCCCCCCACTCGCCATCGCTCGGACGTCCATTTCCCGTGCATTTTTCGGTTTCGTGCGTGTTTTTTTGCTCGATGGTCCAGGATCGTCCTCAATGGTTCTCGCCGAGAGAAAATGCACACGTCCGAGCGATGCCAGGACCAGTGACGCCCGCCATCGCCCGGGAATCACAAACGGCGGAGGAGGAGGAGGAGGAGTAGGCCCAGGAGGCGACCCTTGGCGGCGCGCTCGGCTTCCCAGACATCCGGCTGCTCCAATCTTCCCGATGCGTGGGCACTGGAAGTCTGGACCGCCTCCCCATATGGGACAGGCTCTTCGTCCCGAGTCGTTTTCCGACGCTCCCACAGGGCCCGGCGAGGGCCTCCCTGGAGGGCGAAAGCAATCCAACACCGCCCGCTCCTAGTTCTGTTGGAGCGTCGGACCTCCAGGTCTCGCGGGAGACTCTGGGGACGCGCCCTGGCTGGACCCCAACACTGGAGGCGGGCTCTGGCCCAGCTTTCTCGGGGGAAGGGGGCCACGGGGCCGCCGCCGCGAGGCGGCCCGGCTCGGAGCCCTCGGGCGCGTCCTGGTCGCTCCTGGGCGGTCCTGCAGCCTCGGGGTGCGCTGCAGTCGCTGCGCCTCCGCGAGAGCGCTCTGAGGCTGCCTGGATCGTCCCGAACGTGCGCGCGGAGACCCAAGCTACGGTTAAGTCGGGCCCGTCCCCCTACAAGGGGATTTTCGACGAAAAATTAAACAATACCCTACAAATAGTCAAATAATTATGCAAAAATAGTCTGGGGACTATTGTTTGAGCATTGTTTGACCTTTTTGGAGTATTTTTTTGTATTTTCTATTTTTCGTCGAAAATCCCCCTGTAGGGGGACAGTCCCGACATGACGCTACGGCCCGAGAGCCACCGGAAAGTTCAGAGGCCTCAAACTTGTCCCTATCCCTGGAATCGGGAACCCAAGGCGACGACAAGCTCGGGGGTGTGCCCTTCTGGAACTGCGGGAAAATCCTTGAGATCGGCACCGAAGCAGGGGGATGCCAAACACAGGGGTCAGGGACATGCTTCACGCCGGCAAGCGGGGCGGCGAACGCCCAGAGAGCCTCGACCGATCATCCTCGAAGCTCGGCCGATCCGCCCCGGTTGCTCCTTGCGCCTGCCGCCGCAGTCGAGCATCGGGCTCCCGAAAATGTTGTTTTTTCTTTTTCTTTGTTTCGGGCTCCCGAAACTGTAAGAGAAAACTACATAAACGTTCGACTGCCCGCGCGGGCTTCTCGGATCCGCGCGGGACCCCCACCCGCTGGCGCGCGGAGCGCGCCAGAGGAGCGGCGCCCGAGGCACGGGAGGCGCGGATGCGAGAACTCCGCGCGGAGCGTCCACAGGTTTTTGGTATGCAGTTTCTCTAAGAAGGCCTCCCTGGATGGGGTACGGGTTACACGGGGTCGAAAGATCGCGGCGCATCGCCGATGTATCGCCGATGCATCGCCGATGCATCGACGATGCATCGGCGACGTCGGCGATACATCGGCGACGCTGGCGTGGGGAAGCACGGGATCAACATCGGGCCGCATCGTCAATGCATTAGCGATGCGGCGCGATCCTCCGACCCCATCTACAGTGCGGGCGGCCGCAAGAAACCCTCGCAAGAAACCCATCCATGAAAACCCATGCGCGAGGTGCACCTGAGGGGAAACCTGGAGCACCCTGAACGCAGCAGCTCCCTCAGCGGCTGCGGGAAGTCACTGTGCAGCGCGAGGAGCGAAGAAACCCAGGATACCCTGACGAAAAGCGTATGATTTCTTGATGCGCGCGCCCCCACTGTACTGAGACCCCGTCCAGGAGGCCTAGATTTAAGTCGGGCGTGTCCCCCTACAGGGGGATTTTCGACGAAAAATAAAAAATACCCCAATAATAATAACATATATATATATAGAGAGAGAGAGAGAGACAAAAAAACAAACTCCGAAAATAGTCTGGGGACTATTTTTCTGGTATTTTTGATACCTTTTTGGTGTATTTTTGATATTTTGAATTTTTCGTCGAAAATCCTCCTGTAGGGGGACACTGCCGACTTAAGCCTAGATTCTCTCAAAAGAATCGACCACTCGCAGGAGTGACTCCAGGCCGGAGTGGTACGTGTGGTGCGCGGGCCCGAGGGGGGAGGCAGGGCGGCCACGCCCACGCGCGCCACGAGCCGCTGCCACGGCGCGCTCGGCCATCGGGGGGACCCCGAGGGGCCCGCACCATCGGAGGCCTGAAAATTGGCACCAACACCAAGACAGGGGGTTACCTCCACAGGGGGAAGGTGATCCTAGATTTTCGGTGTTGGTGGTAATAGTTCGGCCACCTTGGAAGCCAGAATATTACCACCATCGCCGAGATCGGGATCTTCTTCCCTCGGTGGAGGCAAACCGCCGAAATTGGTGTTGGTGTCAATCTCTAGGCCTGCGACACCAGAAGTCACTCCGGCGAAAGGTCACTCTGACGTGCAGTCGAGAGAATCGTCGGGGAGACGCAGGGCTCGGGTGCGCGGGTTGGTCTGACGGGGCCACCACGAAAACGACGAGACCCAGCCCGGCATCTGACGGGAACGCCCGCTGCAGACGTCTCCAGAAACCGCACCGTCAAAAGCCATGACGCGCTCGTCCCAATGGCAAGCACATAAAAACCGCACCGTCAAAACCCACAGAAACCGCACCGTCAAAACCGCACCGTCAAAACCCACAGAAACCGCACCGTCAAAACGGCACGCGCGTCGAAAGTTTATGCTTATGTGCTTCGTGTCTTCTTCGATCGTCGAACAGCGTCGCTTCTTCTTCGTTCTTCGATCGCTCTTCGTTCTGTTCTGCCATCTTCTTCGATCCTTCTTCGTTCTTCGGTCGTTTCTGTGCTCCGCTCATCTTCGTTTTTCGTTTGTGTGGTATGTTTCTTCTTCGTTCCTTCTTCGATCGTCAGAAAGCGTCGGCCCACCCGAGCTCCAGCGCACTCGAGCCTTGCGCTTCCCCCGACTCCGCCGCGCCCGCGGGCGGCGCCCGCGGCCGCCGCCGGGCTCTCGGGCCGAAAAAGGGGCGACGCGGCGGTGCGCGGCGCGGCCGCGGCGCCGGCAGCGCGCGCGCGCGAGGGGGTCACCCGACATCCGGTTGGCCACCGTGACAGTACAGTCGGGGCCTTGACCTAAGGAACCCAAAATAAGGAACGAGGCCCCTTTTTTCCATAAGTTGAACTTCGATGTCCCATCGAAGACCTAAGGAAAACCTGAGGCAAGCTGCGAAGCACTTAAGGAACGCGGAGCCCCTCCCAAACGAAAAGGGTTCCCTCTTCAGGGCCCCGGCTGTAGGGGTCCGACCACAAGAAAACTTCCACGAGAAACCCAACCCTGACATCCCAGGACGTCCACTGATTTTGGGTGTGGGAACCGTCACGACTTCCATGGCAAAGCCATCGGAACCAAGGAAACCCAGGGCACCCTGGAGGCAAGCAGGGTGTTCCTTGGCATGGGTCTCCACTGCAAGGGTTCACGTGCGGATTTTTGGGCCAACGTGCAGTGAAGTCAAGTGGTCACAGGGATTCCCTTTTCGTTGAGGGTCATCCAAAGTCAGTTTCGAGGCCAACGTGGCGACTTCTCAATTGTTAGAGGCCTCCTAACTGGTGTCGGAGTAGATGGGGTCGGAGGATCGCGCCGCATCGCCGATACATCGGCGATGCATCGCCGATGCATCGGCGATGTATCGGCCATGCGCTGGCGACGTCAGCGATGCATCGGCGACGTCGGCGTGGAGAAGATTGGGCCGCACCATGGAGCCGCATCGCCGATGCATCGCCGATGCATCGGCGGTGCGGCGCCATCCTCCGACCCCATCTACTCCGACCCCATCTAGGAGGCCTAGGATTAGGTCGGGCATGTCCTCCTACAGGCGGATGTTTGGGGGAGACATGCTCTGAAGATCCAGAGATGCGCAAGGATAGCCAGACACTGGCCAAGCATATCGTCCCCAGACGATTGTGCTCTACTCTTCTTGGTTATTCCTCCTGCAGGCCAGGCAGGACCCCAGCCAGAATTGTTGAAGGGGCCCCAGGACACACAAATAAATACACATAAATAACAGGATGCCCCATATTTCCCCATATGTTCTGGGTTTCTGTCTTCCCCCCCCACTTCCCATATTTTCCAATAGTTTCTGGGGAATCGACGATTAATTGTGTCTGTGTTTTTTCCCTTCCTGACTGTAGGCCAGGCAGGACCCCCAGCCAGAACTGTGGACAACACAGACCTCGCCGCGCGCGCGGGCGCGCGCGCGCGCGGCGGGCCCCCCCACCGCGGAGAGGGGCCCGACGCTCCGCGAGCGGGCGCGGGCGCGGTGAGCAGCGGGCTCTCTGTTGGAGGCCTGGAAATGGGCACCAACACCAAGACAGGGGGCTGCCTCCACAGGGCGGAGACGATCCTAGAATTCGGTGTTGGTGGTGATATTTCGGTCACCTTGGAAGCCAAAATAATACCACCATCACCGAGATCGGGATTTTCTTCCTGGGCGCGGAGCACCCACAGGTCGGAAGAAGTAGGTTTCGAACGTCCAGGTTCGCTGGGGACTGGCTCCCTTCCAGAACGGTCAAAACCCCCCCAAAAGCCCTCCCGAAAGCCCTCCTGGAGGGGCTCCCGGACGCTCCTCGGAGGGTTTAGGACGGGTTTTGGGAGGTTTGTCGCCGCTTTGGAAGGGGGAACCAGTCCCTAGCGAACCCTGTGCTTTCTAAACGTAGGTGCAAACATGCACGGAGGCGTTGAAGGCAGATTGGGCTCCGTCCGCCCTCTGAGGAGGACGGCAAGGGTGAAGCCACTCGACCCTTGAAGTTTGAGGTCGGAATGCGCTTACAGCAGATTAGAATCTGGGGGTCCCAAAATACCTACTTTCATGCGGGCGGGACGGGAGAATGACCACAGCCACTGCTTCTTGT